GGTTCTGGGAGCTAAACTTGAGTCTTCTGGGAGAGCAAGCATGTGAACCTCTGAGCCAGCTTTCTAGCCCCTGATCTTTGCTCTTCATGGATACTGAGGGTCAAACTCAGGTTCTCATGCTGGCCTAGTAAGTACTTTAGTAAATGAGCCATATTTCCAGTTTTTCTAGGCAGGGTCTCTCTGTGTAGCTCTGGCTGTCCTAGAACTAGCTCTGTTGACCAGGCTGGCTTTGAACTCAGAGATCTGCCAGCCTCAGCCTCCCAAGTGCTAGGACTAAAGTTGTTTGCCATCACGACAGGTTCATTTTTTAAAATATATTTTTAATTATGTGTGAGTGTGTGTGTGCATGTTCAGGAGGACTTGTGCTGTGTGTATGGATATGTGCATATATGTGTGGGTGCCCTCAGAGGCATCAGATCCCCCACCCTTTGCAAGAGCAGCAAGTGCTCTTAATTACCGAGCCCCTCCTCCCAGTCTGTTTTTATCCCTGTCTCACTGAGCTAGAAAGTAGGGCCAGAGAGATGAGGATTCTCAGCAGCTCTGCCTCCAGCCTCCTTGGGCCTAAGCCATCAGCAGGACTCTGGGGACCCACCATTCCCTTTCCCTTCAGGTGATGCGGATGACACTGAGCACAATGACTTGGCGACGCAGGGAGATGGTGCGATGGCTTGTTAGCTGTGCCACAGAGATAGGTGAGTACCTGGAGGGGCTGCTGAGGAAACCACACAGCCACCAGAAAAACTGGCCCTGCCTGGCGTGCTGTGCAGCCCTTTGACCCCAGCACTCAGGAGGTAGAGGCAGGTAGATCTATGGGTCTGAGGCCAGCCTTGTCCACATAGAATGTTTCAGGACAGCTAAGGCTTCATAGTAAAAATTCTTCCTGAAAGCAAACACATAAAAATAAAACAAAAGCAGGCCCTTCCTTGTCTGTTGCCAGCTCTAGGCCAGTGTGGAGGGAACCACAGGTGGGGTGGTACCCAGTCTGGTGGTTGGCCAGGCTGAAGTAGTTAGGAGTGGGGAGGAGGCTCCAGATGCTAGCCACCACCATGGTTTCCACTCAGTCCAGCCGCTCCTGCTCCTTTGAAAAAGGGAATTTATTCTATCCAGACATGGTGGTGTGCCTAGAACCTGAGCACTGAGGATGTTAAGTCAGGAGTACCCGCAGTATAGACACCCTGAGCTCATAATGAAGCCCTGTCTGAAGACGCCATGGGCTAGAGGTGTGGCCCAGCAGTAGAGTAAGTGCTTGGCGGGGGCAAGGTTCCTAACCTCATCCCCCGAGTGCCAGTAGAAAAGGAAGGGTAGCTCATTTGTTAGAGTGCAGGGCTAGCACACCCTGGGCACATGACTAATCCTAGCATGTGGGAGGTGGAAACCGCAAGACCAAAAGTGGATCCTTAGCCACAGAGCAACCTTAAGGTCAGCCGGGACTGTAGGAGACCTTGCCTGTTGGCTTTAAATTAATTACTTAATTTTATATGTATGGGTGTTTTGCCTGCATGTGTATCTGTGTGCCTTATGTGCACCTGGTGCCTGTGGAGGCCAGACGATCCCTTAGAGTTAGGAGTGGTTGTGTGTTACCATGTAGGTGCTAGGAATCAAACCCAGGTCTTCTGGAAGGGCAGCCAGTGCTCTTAACCAAACATCTCTCCAGCCCCATGTGACCTTGTTTTTAAAAAACCAAAAACAACCAGCTGGTCATGGTGACCCACATCTGTCATCCCAGCTCTCAGAAGGTGGAAGTAGGTGGCTCTCTTGAGTTTGAGTCCAAGTAGAGCTGCACAGTGAGGACCCCTCCAAAAAAAGTCTGCCTGGTGAAGCTGGACGGTTCAGGGCGGGATGGGAAGTGGCAGGGCCTTGCTGCACACACACACACTCTGCTCTGCTCCCTCTCCCTGTACCTAGGCCCACCAGCGCTGATGAGCATCATGAAGAACTGGTATTCCTTGTTCACCCCAGTGGAGGCAGTCACCATAGTGGCAGTGACAGGCACTACGCATGCCACTTTGCTGCGGCTGCAACTGGACACAACCGGGAGAGAGGAGCTCTGGGCCTGCGCCCGCACCTTGGCATTACAGTGTGCCATGAAGGATCCCCAGAACTGCGCCTTGCCAGCCCTGACCCTGTGTGAAAAGAACCATGCAGCCTTCGAGGCTGCCTACCAGATTGTGTTGGATGCTGCAGCCGGTGGCCTTGGCCATGCCCATCTCTTCACTGTGGCACGCTACATGGAGCATAGAGGCCTGCCTTTGCGGGCCTACAAGCTGGCCACGCTAGCCTTGGCACAACTCAGCATCGCCTTCAACCAAGACAGCCACCCCGCGGTCAATGACGTGCTGTGGGCCTGCTCACTCAGTCACTCGCTGGGGCGGCATGAGTTATCAGCCATTGTCCCTCTCATCATCCGTAGCATCCACTGTGCACCCATGCTTTCAGACATCCTACGGCGCTGGACGCTCTCAGCACCTGGTCTGGGCCCACTGGGAGCCCGCAGGGCTACCAAGCCACTTGGGACTGACAGGGCACCACTTTGCCAGCTCCTAGATGCTGCAGTAGCTGCCTACATCACCACTAGCCACTCACGCCTCACCCACATCAGCCCACGTCACTATGGTGACTTCATTGAATTCCTGGGCAAAGCCCGAGAGACCTTCCTTCTGGCACCGGACGGGCACCTCCAGTTCGCACAGTTCTTAGAGAACCTTAAACAGACCTACAAGGGGAAGAAGAAGTTGATGCTATTGGTTCGGGAGCGGTTTGGCTGAGGGACTGCAGAAAACTAGGAGCATGGGGATCCCCCGGCCTGCCTTCCTGAAACAGGAGGCCTTTGGCCACTTCAGGATTAAGTCACAGAAGGTGGGAGGCAGGAGGTGACACCATTCCAAGTGTGTGCCTAGGAGTATGCGGACAAATGGGAGATCTAAGGATCCGAAGCCATACCACTAACTAGATGCCTGCAGAGGGGATGTGCCTGGGCACCCCATAAGCAAGAAGCAAGCTCTGGTTTTCCCAAACTCACAGGGTTAGCTAGGGCTTCCGGAGAAGGGCTGGGAGGCAGAACTTTCCAGAAATTAGCCCTTAAATTCAGTGTAGCAGATCCTCTAGAGACCACCCAGGTGCCTGCGGACTTCACATCAGGTGGTTAAATCCCGAGTGTTTCTCCCTCTCTGCCACAGCTCAGGGGTCCTGCCCCGCCGGTCTGTGCTCCTGGCCCAAGCCGCCCAGCACAAATCAATGCCTCACCCCCACTGAAGGATTTTAAGAGGTCTTGGGCCTCTGCCACATACCTCACCCCAAATGCCCTTGTCCAGCCAGGACCTGTCTTCTCTTGGGCACCAAGGTCACAGGGTAGACTGGGCACAGCTCTCTGCTGCCCAGACCCCACCACTAGTAACTGGATACACAACTCAGGAACCAGGCTGTCCTCCAACCTGTTGTGGGAGGCACAGGCAGGCAGTCAGGGACCCCGTCCTGTCTTCCTCTTGCTCTACACCTCCGTTTGTTTCCTCACTTCCTTAGTGTAGCCATTTCTGCATCTCTCTCAGGCCCTAGCTGCTCACAAAGGCTGCCCTTCATCACAGGCCTTGGCCTGGGGAGGAAGAGAAGGGAGGGACTCCACCCTGATGAACCTGTCTTCTCTCTTGTATATTAAGGAAAAAGTTGGCATCATTTTGTAACTTTTCTTTCCTATTTATTGAATCCTATACTGTATTCTTTTCTCTTTTTTTTTTTAAAGATTGAACAGAACTTCTTTTTAACTTTGAGATTGGGTTGCATTGCCACACACACACCCAGGGCTGGGTTCCATTAACCAAAAACAATTTCCATGTTGGTTTTTGGGCACAGCTTCAAGAGTGGGACAGGGCGGGGCTGCTGGCTTCCTCCAGTAGCATATTGGTGACACAAAGAGCCAGCTCTCACTGGCAGCCTTACTGCTTTACCGTCTGTGTGTCATAACTTCCGTACAAGGCAGGAAGGACACTAACAATGCCCGAACCTACAGACTGCCCGTACGTCCGAGAAAATGACCGCCAGAGGGCGCCTGGCTCCAGAGAATGCCGTTCGGAGCTTGGGAGGTCGCCCCAGGTGCTGAGTGCAGCTGGGGACACCCCTGCGTCCGCGGTGACCTGCCCATTGAACATGTAGGCTCCCTTCCCTCAGGTGGATTCATCCTCGTGACGGTGCCTTGGTCTTCTCATTGTCGGGTTCTTTGTATCTTTAGCCACTGTCTGGGTCACTTTCTAGGTCCGTTCTCCCCTGGGCGGGGGCGGGGTGCCCCGGGTTGCCGGCCGCGGTGGGGCGCCGCAGCAGCGCTCGAGGTGGCGCCCTGTGGGGCTGGCCGCACCTGCTGGCTCCGGGTGCCGGCCTTTGCCGCAGGGAGCCAATCCGCGGCGGACGGCCTCGCAGGATTCTCAGGTGTGTGTGGGCGGCACTCAAGTTGCTCGAAGCTCCGGCACCTCGTGGGCAGGGGTGGCCCGGCGTACGCAGATGACATTCTTGGACCTGGGACATTTCCTCTCGGTCACGAATATACTCCCTCGCGGAACCGGGAGGTTTGCATGCTGGTTTGCCTGTTACTCCATGTCGCCCACCCCGTTAGGCCTAGTGTCTCCTTCCTATCACACCTCAAACCCAAGTTCTTTTCCACATTTGTTCTCTCATGAACACCCCAGGCCTGAGTTATCCCTCCAGTCCAGGCCGCCCCCAGATGTCACCACTCAGCATCTTCAGGTCCTAGCTGTCTCCACACAGCACCGTCTAATCAGGATACTTCTGACCACAGAAATAAACTTGAGACACCTTCCTCCTTAGAAGGTGGGACAGGGTTGGGGATAGGGGCAGTCAGGAGCCCAGGGTGGGGCGTACCGCTGCAACTGGTATCCCAAACTCCAGAGGCTGAAGGTCAGCCTGGTTACACAGGGGGCCGCCATCTCAAAATAAGAGAAAAGAAAAACGCCAGCCGTCCATATGCGGGAGGCGGGAATGAAGAGACACCAGACTTTAAGGGATGAAGCCGGCAGTTTTTATTTCATTGGAAATCAGGCACAACATTCAATGCGAGCTCTGACTGTTCCTCCCCCAAGCTTTGATTTGCCCCTGCCAGGGTGGGGAGGTGACACGGAGGGTCTGGGGAGTGTGACTTAGCCCCATGCCAACTAGTCTGCATCTACTCTGATTGGAGGGGAGCAGGCAACGTTTTAACTCTTGGAGACTACTCCGAAAGGCACAACGCGGGGAGGGGGCTGGGATCTGTTCTTATCCTTTGAGGACCTGTGTAGAGCTTGCTGTCTGCCCCACTGTTACCAGGAGAAAGCTGTGGGCCCCATGGGAGTGTTAGGCACCCTGGATTGCTGCGGAAGCCGGGAGTTGGCATTTAACGGTCAGAAGGCCTAAAACAGCTTCCTCTTGGGTAACTGACTACAAGGAAGGTGTCTGTAAGGGGTGGTGCCTGGGCCCCACCAGGCTGAGGAGAGGAAGGGCCTCCAGGCCCTGCGGGGACACAACTGCTATGCCTTTTAATGCAAGGATCGCCCACTCATTATCTGTTCTTTTTGGGAACCACAAAAATCTCAAGGTGTGGCCACGTGGGGTGGGATTCCTGGATGTGGGCTTAGAGGAAGGGCCAACAGCAGATAGCTGGACCTAGGCAGGACTGGTCACGCATTGCTTCCGACCCCCACTCCATCCAGGTCTCCGGTCATGGCAGCCATTGTGCAGGGGTGCCAGCTCCTAGGGGGCTGGACTCCTGTTCCTGCTGAACTGAGCCAGTGCACTGGAATCAACTGTTTCAGCTCAGTAGGCACAGGAGGCGGAGCCCAGGGAGAGGCACAGCCATGCTGGCCAGGAAGCAGAGCAGGGTGGGCAGCAGCGGCCTGAGAGATGGGGTCCAGGGGGCGGAACTTAGCCACTGTGAACACGACTTGCTGTGGACCTTGCTCACAAGCAGCTAAGCCCTGCTCCTCAGGCCAGTTGTCACGATGGGCTTCTCTGTCACCCAGTACCCAGGACAGGCATCCCTTGGCAACAGGAGCCCCCAAGGCAGAGCACAGGGTCAGTTGGAAATCCCTGGCAATGTGATTTGTGACTGGCATCAAATCCCATCCCCAGGAACCCCAGCCGGCCGAGGCACAGTGCGGGGACAGCAGGTGGGGTCGGAGCGCAGCACCTACAGGGGAGAAAGAAAGGAGAATGAGATTGGGAACACTGTGCTTGCCTGCCTATCTTCTGTTATTTATGTCCAGTGGGGTCGCACATAGCTGAGGCCGTCTCTAAACTGGTAGTCCTCCTGCCTCCGTCTCTGCAGTCTAGGATTACAGGTGCACCTCACCACACCCAGTTTACAAGGTGCTGGAGACTGACTTGCTCAGCCACACCCCAGCCCTCTATCTGCTTCCAGGAGGGAGCCCAGGGGTGCCTCCAGCCCCAGGCCTTTGTACAAAGCTGGAGGTGCCAGAAAGCCTAATAGACCAAACAGGCTGCAAAGCCTTCTCAGCTGGTTTCCACTCAGCTTGTCTCTCTCCCCACCCACAGCCCTGAGCCTAAAGCAGGCCAAATGGGGCCATGGAGAGAGGAAGCTGAGGGAGGTGGGCGGTTGGAGGGAGGAAGTGACCTCATCCTAGCTGGCGCCACTTCCTAGAAGCCTGAAGGGCAGGAGGAAACTCCAGCACCTCCTGTCTCAAAGCTGTCTCCTCCAGCTCCTCCAGCCAGCTCAGGCATACCCCACCCCCACCCCACACGATCCAGGACCCAAGCTGGGAGAAGCAGGCTGATACTACCTCAGCAAAGTTTCAGGACATGCTCCCCAAGTTTCCCAAAGGTCTTCCAAACCTCAGTTTCCCCATCTGTAAAGTGGACCAAGAACAGTTGGTTCACTGTTGGCTCAAGCTCATCTCAGCACCCAGGAGACTGAGACATGAGGTGGCCAAGAAGGAGTCCAAGGCCTGCTTCAAGCTGCACAATGAGCTTTAGGCCAAAATGGGCTGCAGTCCGAGACCCTAGGTCTCAAAGAACAAAACAAACAAAAAGACCGAGACCCTCTACCAGGTAGGCCAGTGCAGATTTATAGAGAAGATATTTGGCACCGAGTACCAGGGCAAGCCACAGAATTTAGGACCCCCCAATGTAGAATAGCTTCCCCAACTGCCAATAAAATTCCAGGGGCCAGCAAGATGGTCCAGCAAGTAAACCTACCATGAAGCCCAATGTCCTGAGCTCAAACCCCAAGAACTGACCCCCACAAGTTGTCCTCTGAGCTCTGCATTTGTGACCACACACATACACACACACACTCACACATAAATGTAAAATATAAAAAGCATAGAATTTCAGGGTTGGAGAAACGTCTCAGCAGTTAGGAGCGGTTGCTGCTCTAGCAGAGGATCCAGGTTCCCTTCCCAGAACCCGTATGACAATCACAGCTATCTAACTCCCATCGCAAGAGCTCTGATGCTCTCTTCTGGCCTCTGTGGGTACCAGGCACACACCTGGTGCACATTTGTGCATGTAGGCAATCACTCACAAACATACAATAAAAACAAATTTAAGAGTCAGGAATGAGCCGGGTGTGGTGGCGCAAGCCTGTTATCCCACCACTCTGGGAGACAGAGGCAGGCGGATCTCTGTGAGTTCAAGGCAGCCTGGATCTACAAAGAGAGTCCAAGACAGCCAAGGCTACACAGAGATACCCTGTCTCAAAAACCTGAAGGAATAAGAGAGTCAGGAACAATGGCGCACACCTTCGCCCCAGCTCCTGAAAGGCAGGGGAAAGTGGACCTCTGTGAGCGCAAGGCCGGACCGGTCTACATAAGGAGTTTCAGACCTTCCAGGGCTACACAGTGACACCCTGTCTCAGGGAAAGCACGGAGAGACGTGCTCAGTGGTTAGAGCATGAACCTGAGGGTGGTCTCAGCACTCACAACAGGCAGCTCACAACTGCCTGTAACTCCAGTTTCAGGGGATTTCACTTCCTCTTCTGGCCTCTGAGGCACTGACACACACAAACCACACACAGACCAGACACACACATCTTCTTTTAAAAGTGTCAGGGTCTGAGGTGACAGGTCGATCAGCTAAGCGGTTACCACGTAAGCGCTAGTGCCTGTGCCATCCCAGGCATGGCAGCTCACACTTGCGTTTTGGGGAGGTAGAGGAGTCCATGGCGCTCACAGTCAGCCTGCCTCACCAGCTCCAGGACGCAGGGGCTGGAGAGATGGGGAAGAGCACTTGCTCTCGTTGGGACCTGAGTTCAGGTCGCAGCACCTATGTGGCATCTTACAATCACCTGTCACTCCAGTTCCAGGAGACCCAGTATCTCTGACCTTTGAGGACACCACACGCACATTCATTTTTGATAATGTACATTTGAGGTTGCACTCTGCACACACGGGAAGAAGGGTAAGGTTTTTCAGACAGCCCATGTCATGCAACGGGACCAGGTCTCGTAAAAGCCTTACAGTGGTGCACACCAGCCTGGTCTACATACTGAGACCTTCTCAAAAGGAAGACAAACACCAACAAAGGAAAAGGAAAAGGAGGGGTAAAGGCCTTTGGCTAGGTGAACTCCGTTCTGAAGCTTGTTGGCCTGCAATGTGACCAAGCAGCTTTTTGGCTGGTTGACTCTAGGCAAAGAACATAGCCTCTCTCTGTGACAAAGTCTCTTTGTCCACAAAATAGCAATAATGAATGACTTCAGACCCCAATATAATGGCACATGGTGGCAGACTTGTAAGGCCTGCCTCCAGGAGGGAGGGAAGAGGATCCCGGCTTAGAGGCCAGCCTGGGCTACCAAGTGAGACTGTGTCTCACAGGAAAGGGCTGGAGAGATGGCTCAGTGGTTGAGAGCACTGGCTGCTCTTCAGAAGTTCCGGGTTCAGTTCCCAGCACCCACATGGAGGCTAACAGCTGCCTACAGCTGTTAGCTCCAGTGTGAGGGAATCCGACGCCTTCTTCTGGACTCTGCGACCACCAGACATGCATGCAGACAAAACACCTATACACACAAAATAAGTAATTTTTAATTAAAAAAAAAAAAAAAAAGCGACAAGGACTAAGGGTCAGTGGTGATGGCCTAGCACTGTGTGGGGCCTGGCTTCATCCCCGGTACCCTACCATGAAGTACAGGTGTAATCCCGGTGTTCAGGAAGTGGAGACGGGGATAAGAAATTTAAGGTCACCAGCAGTGGTGGCGAATGACTTTAATCCCATCACCGGGGAGGCAGAGGCAGGTGGAGCTCTGAGTTTGAGGCCAGTCTGGTCTACAAAGTGAGTTCCAGGACAGCCAGGGCTACACAGAGAAACCCTGTCTAGAAGAAAACAAATCAAGAAATGTGGCTACAGAGCAAGCCAGAGGCCAGCCTGGGGTACATGAGAAAAGAAATGCTCAGGGCTGGAAAGGTGGCCTGAACTGCATGTCGCTCTTTCAGAGAACCTGAGTGTGGTTCCCCAGCTCACAACTGCCCACAGGTCCAGCTCCACGGCATTCAGCACCCTCTTCTGGCCTCTGTAGGCACATATACATACATGCACATACCCAACACACACACACACACACCATAGAAAAGAAAGAAAATCTCTACTTCGTAAGGAACTGGAGGACATGTGGCATCAGGACAAAAGGATTCTGTCATATCATCAACGACAGGCAAGACGTCAAGACGTCCTAACGTCTAGATCTGGCATTGCCTATGACGGTTGTGTGTCCCCCGAACACATACATACATACACACACACACACACACACACACACACACACACTGGCGACCCTCCTTCCCACCAGGTCCCAGCCCACACCTGTCCCTTTGGGGCCTGGGGGCCACTCAGGGCCTCGGGCTGACCAGTCTCTCCAGTCACTCCGGAAGTGAGACAGCACATTCGTCCCAGGGAGCAGAACGGGAAGGGCGGCCATTTGGCCAGGCTGGTTTCCTGTGGGGTTTCCCCTACAAAGAGCCCAAGGCTACGGCCAAGGCCACTCCCATCCTTACACACACCAGAGGTCTGTGTCTGGCGTGGAGGGGCATTACCCCGCAGGTGTTCAGCAGCTGGGACACCCTGTACCAAGGACCGTGCCTCTCAGTCTCGTAGAAGGAGAAGACCTAAAGGGACTGAGGTCCTGTCGCTGGAGGCCTTAGGGAACAGGGCGGGCCTTGGGCTGTGGCATCCCAGCTGGTGCTTGTTCCTCTGCCTCCCTGGAGGACTCACAGTGGACCCCAAAGAAGGCAGAGGCCCTCCGGCCGTCCCCGAGCCTGATCCCCAAATACTTTCCACCCTCGCGAAGCAGCGAGGATCGGAAAATACCAAGGGCTGCAGGCCCCGCCCCGCCCCGCCCCCGCCCCAGTCACCAGCGCTCGCTAATGGCCCAGACTCTTCCAGGAGCTCGGCGGCTGGGCTGGGGCCAACCCGACCTGCGGCGCAGATGCCTGCCCTCCACGCCCGTCCCCACGCAGGGACCAGACAGCCGGCCTGGGCTGGGGGGCAGGGCATAGGCAAGTGGGTGGGCTCTGTGCCTACCCGCGAGTGGAGGGGGCGCAGGAAGGGGTGAGGGAGAACTGAATCACTTGGTATAAATAGGGAAAGACAGCCACGTCCCACCCTCGCTGCCCGCCAGCCACACAGTCCAACCAAATCCCCTACTCCCATTTCTTAACATTCTTTTTGCGGCGCTGGGTTCCCCTCAAACCAATCAGAGTCCACTGGTGAAGTTCATCCCAGGCCTGGCCTGGCCTGGGATAGGAGATAGGAGCCCTGGCCTCCATCACTCACTGTCTTCTGGAAGGCTTTGGCTCACTCCCTTCACACTGTAAAACTTTCAGGAACCAGCTAGCCATTGTGAGGCTTGTCTGTCATTCTACCATTCAGGAGGCTGAGGCAGGAGGACTACCATGTGTTCAAGACCACAGTAGGCTCTGAAATGAGACTCTGTCTCAACCCTCAAAATTGAATGTGGGTAGAGAGTGCTTGGCTCTTTTGCAGGAAGCATGGGATCTTGTGCACACAAGTAATCCTAGCACTCAGGAGGTGGAGGCTTTAGGATCAGGAGTTCAAGGCCATCCTGGACTACTTATCCAGTTCCAGGCCTGAATAGACTACATGAGGCCATGCCTCAAAAAAGTTCTTTTGATTCAATAAAATTTATATTTATTATTATTCCCAGGCCCAAGACTCAGGGTTTCAGAGCCCCCAACGCATACTTGTGGCCCCGGTCCTGGAAGGCGGCTCTATAGACAAAAGGGAGGTTCCAAGGGAAATCTCAAATTTGCTCCCCCAAACCCCTCAAGGCCCATGTGCCCATTCTGGCCACCCAGCCCTGCTCTGCCCAGGGCCACAGCTCAGCAGCCACACCCAGGGTGGCGCCAGCTCCAGCAGCCTGAGGCAGGGCGCCGCCGGAGTGTGACTCAGCCAGGCCCGGCATGGGCTGTCCTTCCCTACCCAAGAATTCTCACGCCCACGCCACCACCCTCAGTCCTTCCCCACGACCAGCGGCGAAGACACGCCTCCACTCAGGACACTCAACAGCAGGAGATGAAGAGGCCAGAGGACCCTCCAGGAGACTGAAGGGACGGTGTGCTCCGTTCCAGTTTCTCCAAATGTTCCCATTTACAGATGGAAAAACTGGGGCAGGAGCGTCATTCCCAGGTGTCTACACTATCTCCACGAAAAAAAAAAGGCCGCCTGGGCTGGAGCTGGTGGCTCATGTCTATCATCCTAGCACTTGACAGTTGCAGGCAGGAGAATGGGGAGTTCAAGACCACTCTGAGTTTCGGGGCAAGTTTGAGGCAAGCCAGGGACACAGAAACCCTGTCTCCATCACCTAAAAAAGGGATGGAAATGTAGCTCAAAAGGCAGAATGCTTGCCTGGCATGCACAGGCCCTGGGTTCAGTCAACCCAGCTCTCAGGTGGGAGACAGGAGGCTCAGAAGTTTGAGGGCAGCCGGGCTTCCCTGAGACTGTCTCAGACGACAAAACTAGCCTGACAGCGCTGTGGGAACAGGTAGGCACAGCAGTGCACTCTGTCATCAGGGAACTCAGGAAGCTGAGGCGGGAGGATCTCACTGAGTCCTGAGCCAACCTGGGCCGCACAAGCACGGCGGCCAGACCCTCCTGCCCCACACAGGCCTGGTGCAGAGAAGCGCAGAAGGATGGGGCTAGCTGGAGCCTGCTAGGAACATCTGGCCTCCAGTTGCAATAGGCACAGGGTGGCCATGGCATGGGGGTGCCTCGCGGGGCATCCGCCTTGGCTGCCTCTCTCCAGCAAGCAAGAATCTGCCAAGCTCAGAGGCTGGGCCAGCGCAGACAGGCCCGACCCCCCTAGACACGCCCTGTCACGCATATGCGCCGCGTGCCAGCCCTGGGCTGGGCCCACAGCTATTTTAAGGCCCCCTGCTAGGTCCTCAGACAAGGACTGCCCAGTTGAGGGTTTTTAAGGATGCTCTCAAGGGACCCTCCCGGACAAGGACAGAGAGCTACGATGCTCCCCAGAGCAGCATCCTCCCTTCCCAGCACTATGGTGGTGTGAACACACGTGCCCAGGCTGGCCCAGGCACAGTGCGTGGGTGAGCAGCCAGCGCGGGCCTGCATCACCTCGCCTGGAAGCCTGCGCACCTGTCGGGTCCTGCAGGCTTTGAGCTGGGCTGGCTGGGGCAATCCCCGGGCCAGGGTCCTCTCCAGTCCTCAGACTTACCTTCTCAGGCCACCCTGCCAGAGGCGGGCAGCTGCTGCTGGCTGGGAAGGGGGCAGGTACAGGGAGCCTGGGCACTTCCTAGACACTCGGAGGTCCAGTGGGGCCTGGCCAAGCTGGAAGGTCAAGCCCAGCCGAGGGGGTTCAGTGGCCTGCAAATCTAGAGGTCAGTCTGGGGCCAGCACAGGACACCAGGCCTCTCGTCAAGACCAAGGGCTGTGGCCTGGGCGCCGCACCACGCCGGGGTCAGGCCTTCAGGGCCCGCAAGTCTACCTGCTGTCGCCCGCAGCAAGATCCAGCTCTTTCCTCCCAGGCCAGGCGGTCACGGCCCCTCTCGTCCCCGGGCCGCGCGGGAAAGTTGTCGCCGCCCGCGCCCCGCGAGTCTCTCCCGGGCCGGACCCCACTTCCCCGCGGGGGAGGGGAGCCCGGCTGCGCGCGGGCGAGACGACGCCGGCCGCGCCCCACCCCGCCGGCCGGCCCAGATCGCCTTTAAAACCTCCGCGTCTCCTCCCCCCACGGCCGGGCAGGGGGCGGGCGCGGGGCGGGGCGGGCGCCGCCGTCATGTGCCCCCGAGGCGGCCCGCCCCGCGCTCTCTCGCCTGTCCCCCAACTCAGGCCCAACTTTCTCCATATCCGGCATGGGCATGGGCCGGGGTACTCTGGGGTCCTGCCAAACACCAGTCTTCACTTCGACAGCGCCTACTTCGCCAGTCTAGGAAGTCCCTTCTTGTAGCTCACCCAATCCTCTCTTGCTGTTGTGGAAAAGAATTTTTGACTGTAGGCCAGGTGACCCCTGAGACTGTGCCCCTCCCCTTTCCAGGCTTCCCGGCACCCTCTCCTACCCGCCAGGGACCTCTGGGAGACTCCACAGCTATGGGTACATTCCTGAGAAAGAGCCCCCTCCCCCAATCGCATCCTTCCCTTATTCTGTGCGTGTCTCTCCCTCTTCATCCTTAGGCCTCCCCCCCCATCAGGAACATGGTGGCATTGTTCCCCCGGACGGGGCCCTCCCTGCCTCAGGGCCTGGCCTGGTGCCCAGGTAGGGGGCCGGGAACAAAACCCAGCCAAGGAGGGGCAGGGTGCCCTCTGTGGCCACGCCAACCTCCTTGGGCGTGCTGGACGGCCACTTGGCCCTCTGCAGGGCAGGACAGGGGCGGGTAGACCCCAGCCCACACTGAACACCAGCACGGGTCAAGGCCTTCCCAGAACCGGGCAGCCTTTGCTCTGGGTGCGGTTCCTCCCAGCCACCCCCAACAATCCCAAAGACTGCTATGGGAGTCCCCATCTTGGGAGGAGGGGAGGAAAGACCTTCCCTTTGAATAATGCTAGGGGAGATAGGTGACCTGGCACCCGGGGGGGGGGGGGGCAGGTGGCCCTCGGCCACTTCTCCACCCTAACCCTCTCAGACCAGCACTCTCGAACTTTGGGGTGTGCATGGGACTTGGGGGGGGGAGCTGCACTAAGTTGTTACCCAGAGGCCCAAGCCCTGGGGACTCGGCAGCTTCCTTCCACATGGGGCCCGACAGGCAAAGTTGGCCCACAGTGCAGGATCTGACAGGTTGGGGCAGGAGGGGAAAGAGCGGCCCACCCGGCTGGGGCCCCAGGGGAGGATTTGGGGTGGCACAGAATTCTCCAACTCAGGGAGGGCCCTGGGAAGTGGGAGAGATGGCCTCATGGCCCCTGAGCAGGTATAAATGAGGACAAAAAGTTGGGTTCTAGCTGGTCAGCGCAGCACTCCCGAGGCAGAGGAATGACAAGCTGAAGGCCAGAGTGAGCGGCAGAATGTATCCCTCCCTGTCTGGAAGGTGGAGGCAGAAGGATAGGGAGTTCCAAGTCATCCTTTTGCTATATCGTGAGTTTGAGCCCAGCTTGAACTACATGAGACCCTGTCTCTCAAAAAAAGAAAGAGATAAAGGCAGAGAGAGAGAACAGGAGCATGCATGGTTCCCCTGGTGTCCTGTATAGACACAGAGTCATACAGAAAGACTCAGGCACAGACCAATCCCTGGGGTGACCCCTCCACATGCCCTGTGGAGACCCCTTCACCCTATCCTCAGACACACATTGCCAAAGTCTCATCTGTTTTCTGTGGACACTTCTCTTTCCAATTTGCTTTGTGGAGACTGAGTCTCATTGTTCCCCACAGGCTCTTTTGGCTTGGGACTCATGATCCCCCTGCCTCAGTTTCCCCAGAGCTGAGATGACAGGCATGCACCGTCACATCCATTCACCAGTGAGTGAACAGATTCGTCACCCTCACGTGTGGCCTTAAGCAACACCTCCCAGTCCCAAGGAAGGAGCCCCCAGTATCCCTCGTTATCTGCCCCAACCCAAGACAGGAGCCAACAGGATCTCAGCTCACCAAACTCAGCTATTGACTTTTTGATCAGGGAAGAAATGCAGGGGTCCAAGACAAGGCAAGACAAAGGTATGTGGGCACACACATACGTACATGCACGCACACATACACACATACACATACACAAGACTGAAATGTCTGCGTGCTGGTTCTGTTATGCTCTGGCCCTCAGGAAGTGGAACCTCTTAGATCCCACCAAGTTGGTTGGAGCGGGGGAGGGCTGTGTGAAGGGACCCTGTCAGGTCTGAAGGTCGCCCCACAGGTCACCCGGGCGCACACGCAGGGAGCCCTGGGCCCCATGGCAACCCAGCACAGAGACATCAAACAGGGAGGCCGCACGTCACTGCGGTTAGGGAGGCTCCTCCCCACTGGCTGGCGGCTGGCTCCTCAGGCCGTCAGGCAGCCCGCCTCCTGTCGCCGTGGCGACCGGCTGTGTTGTGGACTGTCCCGGGCCCACCAGATCCCTGCCCCCTCGCTGGGGCACTGCCGCTCCCCGCATCCGGGGAGGGCGCCCAGCTCTGCCATTCCGCCGCCGGTATGGGGCCTAGTGCTAGGCAGGGCAGAGCGGCCTGCCATTTGCGGCTCGGAGGGGTCCTTGGAGATGAACAGCATTGCGAGGGTCCCTGGAGGGGTGTGTGGCCACGAATAGCCCCGGGGCGGGTAGTTACGGAACGCTGTTGGGGTGGGTGACACAGGAGTGGCCCAGGATGGGTAGTGACACAGGAGTGGCCTGGAATGGGCAGTTACCAGGGCGCTGTTGGGGTGGGTGACACAGGACTATCCCAGGATGGGTAGTGACTCAGGAGTGGCCTGGAATGGGTAGTTACCAGGATGCGTTGGAGTGGGTGACACAGGAGTGGCCCATCGGAGAGGTATTACCAGAAGGATGTTGGGCCCAGGCCTAGCCCAACACCAGAGCTGACATGGAGCCCTGGCAAGGGGAACGTGGATGGCAGGGGGAGGCAGCTCAAGAAGTTAAATTTGGTTGTGGGCGGGCGCTAGGTGCTGGAGCGCACAGGGTTAAAGAGAGCTGTTCTTGGGGTCTCCCCTCTTCGACACCCCCTCCCTTCCGGGGGATTTCGGGCCCCAGCCCCTCTGACGTCAGTGTGGTTGCTATGGTAACCGGCCGACTTTCCCAAATAAAATTACTGCGGCCGAGCAAAGTTTCCTGGAGTCGGCCGCGGAGTAAACAGTGGCAGGGGCGGGGCTCGGCACGGGGGTCCTGAAGCCGGAGCGGGGCGGGGGGGGGGGGGATCCCTGTCCCAGGGCTCTCCGAGATGGGTCTGGACAAGGGGACTGAGTAGACGCCCCGCCGCTCCCATGCGTGTGCACTTCCTGTCGCTGGCTGCGGGAGGAGGTAAAACAAGCGAACGGGCAACAACCAGAGCAGGGACAGGGAGGACCAGGCCCACCGTCCCCGCCAAACCCATCACCCACGTACTTAAGAACTGGTGATCTCCCCCGGCCTCACCTAACCTCTGTACAATGGGAACAGATTCGCATCCACTAGCTTCTGCCAGGTGCAGGGAGGGACCCCAAGTTGGCGCCAAAGACAATTAAATGACTTTAGCTCCAGGTGTGCTTCATACCCCCACCCCCAGGTGGGGTTTCCAGACCACAAAGCATGCAGTTCCATTCGATTTCCAAATACACTCTATGTCTTTGTTTCGCTGGGCGGGGAGGGCGTGTTTTGGAAGACAAGGCTGGAACTAAGTGTATAGCTTAGGGCTGAGGTACTCCTAGCCATCTTCAGCCTTCTAAGTGGTGGAATTATAGGCCCAGCCATAGTTTTTTGTTATGTTTGTTAGTCTGTTTGTTTTTCGAGGCAAGGTTTCACTGTGTAGCCTTGGCTGTCCTGGAACTCACTCTGTATACCAGGCTGGCCTCGAGCTCACAAAGATCCTCCTGCCTCTGCCTCCCCGAGTGCTCGGATTAAAGGTGTGCACCACCCCGGCTTTTTGTTTGTTTTTGCTTTTTGAGACCAGGTTTCTCTTTGTAGCCTTGGTTGTCCTGGAATTTGCCTGCCTCTGCTTCATAGTCTTGTTTTAGGTCGGCTTTCTTCCTTTTTAAAGTATGTAAATTTGAGTCTGGTTTACTTAATCCCAGCACTTGGGAGGCAGAGGCAGAAGCACCTCTGTAAATCTGAGGCCAGTATGGTCTATACAATGAGTCCAGGACAGCCACTTGTAGGACCATTTCAAAGAAACAACAGTAACAACAAAATATCCAGCTACGCCCCTGTACAATATTTAGGAGGCAACTGTACAAACACAAAAATTATATTAAAATGAGCTACTTTGTCTTCTAAATTCAAAACTAAAGGGGCTTTTCATTTTATTTTAATTGTAGTTAAAGTATGTTTTGGGACAGGGTTTCAGTAAGTAAACCTGGCTGGCCTGGAACTCCCTCTGTAGATCAGGCTGGCCTCGAACTCAAAAAGATCCTCCTGCCTCTGCCTCCTGAGTGCTAGGATTAAAGCAGTGCGCCATCACTGCCTGGCTCAGCATGAATTTTATTTATTTACTTATTTTAAAAGATTTTATTAATTTATTTATTGTATATGAGTGCTCTATCTGCATGTACACTTGCAGGCCAGAAGAGGGCATCAGATCCCAGGATACATGGTTATGAGGCACCATGTGGTTTCTGGAAATTGAACTCAGGACCTCTGGAAGAGCAGACAGTGCTCTTAACTGCTGAGCCATCTCTCCACCTCTCTCTCTCTCTCTCTCTCTCTCTCTTTTCTTTAATTTATTTTTGTTTTTTTGGGTTAGGGTTTCTCTGTGTAGCTTTGGCTGTCCTGGACTCACTTTGTAGACCAGGCTGGCCTTGAACTCACAGAGACCCGCCTGCCTCTGCCTCCTGACCACACTCCAGCATGAATTTTTCAAAAGTACATTTTATTGCCAGGCAGTTGTGTCACACACCTTTAATGCCAGCAGAGGCAGGCGGATCTCTGTGGGTTCAAGGCCAGCCTAATCTGCAGAG